AATGTAAAAAAAAAAAAAAAAAAATTCCTTTCTAGTCATGTTAATATGAATCCTTATATACTACCTTCAATACCACCACACACACATGACCTATGGGGGGTTATATTGACCTGAAATGAAAACTATTTTTGTGATTGTCATATATAATAATTTTATTAAAAAAAAAATTCTTTCCTCATCTTTTGTACCATGTCTCTATTATTATTATTATCATCTTTAATGCCATTTATATCTCTCATTTTTTTTTTTTAAATAATAATGACCTATCATATCGTACATCATGACTTGTGGAAGGCCAATCATTTTTTCTTGTTTCCCACGTTCGACTATTATAGTAAATATCACGCTAATAGCTTTGACCAATTGATTCGTTTTTTTTTATTTATATATATCATATAAACAATTTTTCATGATAAAGAATTTTTTTTTTCGTCTAGGCTCCCGGTTGTTTGTGTTGTATTGATGTTTCTTGACCAATTGTGTCCATCATTGTCATCGTCATCGTTTTTTTTTCTTCTTTAGTTGACCAGAATGTACATAACATTGTGTAATAGGCGCCATATATATATATATGCATATTATATACAGTATAAATATAGTTGTCAAATGATTATGACCAAAATGATGATGATGATGATGACAATTTAATGACTACAATAAACCAATATAATATATTGGTTTATTCAATTGTTGTCTTATGGCTCATATAATAATAATAATAATAATATGCGGTGGTCGATGGTAAGATATGACCGTGTATAAAATTTTTTTTTTTTTTTTTTTTTGCCTCTAAATTTTTATACAACATGGTCAATGTTGAATTGCTTATAATAAAAATTTGAATTATTTGTGTCTTCATTTTTTTTTTTTTTTTTTTTTTGAATGATGATGCTTATAATGTCAACCCATTTTATGGTGATGGTAAAGCATAAAAAATTTTTTTTCGGTTAGAAGGTCTCTCTCTCTCTCCTCTATGAGAAAATGGCTTTTTTCTTGATGATGATGATGATGATGTTGAAATTTTGCTCTCTCTCTCTATATTTACATGATTATGAATAAACACATCAATGCCATCATCATCATCATCATAAATGCACTATACGCAAATCTTTACCAATCGATTCATTATTTTAAACATATTTGAAGCCTATTTGATGATTTTTTTCGTATTGCTTTTTTTTCTGTTGAAAATTGCTCATTCGAAAAAAAAAAAATTCATTTTTTTTTTTTTTTCCTTCATAATTCGTAAAATATGAATATGTGGCTTTACAGAATTTATTCTGACTTGATACCATTATGATTGAATAAACATAAGACATTCTTGTTTGTTGACTTTGATTACTGTTCAAATAGTATGGAATTTTTATTTTTTTTTCATAATAATCATGATGTGTATTTTTGTAAAGTTGAAAAGTTGATTGTTTTGAATCATGATGAAACATTCATCTCGGTTATTAACGGTTTTTTTTCTCTTATTGTAAGCCTAATGCCCGATCGAATAGTGTGTGTGTGTATGAGTGTTAACAATAAGAAAAGAAGTAATAAATTGATTATTATTATTACTACTACCGAATCACTCATTTCATCATCCATCAACATAAAAAAACTTTCGGTTCTTAGTAATTCTTTAGTATTTGAGTTCTATCGAAAAAATTTAGTGGTAAAAGTTTTTTTCACACTACCAATCATCATCATCATCATCATTGTTTGAATTCAATCAAGATGCTGCTATAACTTTGTTCTCTTTTTTTTACACAACAACAACAACAATTGATTGAATTCAATAATTTTGACAATGTAGATGAATGAGTTTTTTTTTTGGTTATTTATCCAATATATATCTATCTATCACCATGAGGTGAAAACATCAAAATGGATGATGTTCTTGTATATATAGCGTCCATTTGCAATTTACAAACAAACAAAAAAAAACGATAAACATTCCAAATAAATGAGAAATGATCAAAAAAAAAAAAAAAAAATGATCGACGGCTAGCTAAATATAAAATTAATGTAATGTGATGTAACGAGAAAAAAAAGAGAGTAACGAAATTGTTTCAGTGCATTGTGAATCTAGGAGCCATCCTAATGATAATGATGATGATGATGATGATGATGACGATGGAGAAAAATCCAATTGAATGATGTATCCAAAATAGTAATCAAAGATTGCTGTTTTGAATGTTGTGCTCTATATGTCACATCAATGAAATCTTTTATCGAAAATCATTTATATATATATGAAAATACTGACGGTTTTTGACGGTAGTAGTTTTTTTTTGTTGATGGCCATGTTTGTATTAAAGAAAAAAATGCAAAGATCTTCATTCGTCATTCATTCGTCTTGGCCTTCGAAAATGGAAGCAAAAAAAAAAAAAAAAAAAAAAAAAAAAAAAAAAAGTAACGGGTAACGGGAAAATTGTATCTCATGTCAATCGAATCCATTGGTCTATCCAATCAATTCCCCTCAGGCTTATTTGATATTCTGTTTTTTTTTGTTCGTTTTTCCTTCTATGTCTCTGTGATGTTTTTTTTTCCATCATCTGTATTCATTATCATCATCATCATCATCATCAACGTTGTTTATTTGTATTAGTTTCGAATGAATTTTTTTTCCATTTATTTGTTGGTATGTTTGTGTGTTAATGAATATGTGTGTGTGTTTAGCGAATGTCTAAATGCCCTTATTCGAATGAATTAGACCTTGATCTGATGGCACATAAAATGAAAATGAAGATATAGTGCAAAAAAAAGAGTGAATGAAAGACAGAAAGTTTTGATGATTGGCTAAATTATTAATTAGATGATGATGATGATGATGATGATGTGTTGATGAAGAATTTGATGCCAAACGATTGAAATTATTATTTAACAATTTTCATTATTCTACAACTCACACACACACATATGTAACACCCTACGGGCATTAATTATTAAAACCTTTTTCTTTCAATATACCAATTTCACATCAAACACTGAATGAAAACACAACACAACAATTAGATATATTTTAATCTATTATATGAAAATAAATAAACAAATCGATAAGATCGAGAATATTCTTGATCTTTAAAAGCAAAAATCTTTAGATGATGATGAAGATCTTTTGAAAATTAAATATTGTTATAGATGTAATAATGAAATTCAAATGTTTGTTTTCCATCAATAATCATCATCATCATCATCGTCATTATTGACCTAAAACTTCAACGAAACGGAAACAAACTTGGTTGCCACACACAATTTGGAGTTCTTTATCTTTTTTTTTTGTTCTTTATTTTGTTTATTTGTTTGTCACATATATTGTAAATGCTTTTATGGTAATGAATACTACTCATCATCATCATCATCATTAATACTCATCAATATATATATAGTTTATTGTCAGATTTTTTTTTTGCAACTTAATGGCTGCAATCACCATCAATATATTCATAGTTAAATGAATGAATGAAATGAAAAGAAAAGAAAAATGGATGCATGGATGGACACGATGATGATCGGTTCATACAAATACAAATACAAATGTTTTGATCCAAATGTAAAAAATTTTCTTATTGTTATTTTGTGTCGTTTTTTTTGTCTCTCAATATTCAGGTGTTTTATTGTTGAATAAGTTAATGCACCAATGAATCAAAATCTATAAAAATGAAAGGTAAAAAAAAAATTTTCTTTATTGACACCAGAAGATTCTAGTTATTAATGATTTTTTTATTATTGAAAATAATAAAAAACAATTGAAATTTACTTCAATAATGAACAGCAATAACAAACTGTCACGCAATGTAGAAATTTTTTTTTCCATTTTAAATTACGATTATGATTATTATCGTCTCGGGAACCATGATTCAAATATAGTACTACTAGACTTTAAAGAGTTTCATTGAGTTTCATTTGGTAGTAATTATGAAAATGTGACATTTTAGATTCTTGATTCAAAAACGTGAAAGATAAACAAGAATGTTTCATTACTATCGAGGATAATGATGATGATGATGCTTGAAATTGATTATGATTATGATTATATGGAGAATTTTATTACTATCCATTTGGGAGATATAATATATAGTTTTGGCTTCACTAATAATGATTGTTGAGAATCTGAAAATGTTCATGATGATAATGATGATGATGATGATGACTGAGAGCAAAAACAAAATCGATTAATACTAATGATTGAAAAAGCCAAATCAATTAATTTAGCTAAATCCATTCAGATATTCTATAGAAGAATAAATTGACAAATATTTTCTTGTCATCATCATCATCATCATTTATCTTTCACACTGCTGGTGATCAGCATAATTTTTCCTTCTCTTTTCATCATCAAGGAATATATTTGCTGCTCAATACGTTTGTAATATTTATCACAACTTGTCACCTAGATTTTTTTTGATGCTCAAAATAGCAAACATATTAATTTCAATATATGTAATAAATTTCATGAAAAAAATGATGAGAAAAAATTGATATAATGAGATTTATTTCGTTTGAAAAAAAAGTGTGGAAAAATAATGTCATTTTTTTTTAGAAAAATTTTTCACTAGCCATTCCTTTTTTTGTATTTGATCCTTGCTTATTGAAATTATCGATTGCCATTATCACCATTACACATCCACCTAATGCATCTGGTAATCGGGTGGTAATACAAAACACACACACACACACACTAATACTATGATGATCGAATGAATATTGGGAAAATCTATCTATATTGATGATGATCGGATATTTTTTTTTTTTGCAAAAAAAAAAATTCAAAGAATGTCTGTATGCTTACTCGTAGGTGGCAAATTCGAGCAACAAAAAAAAATTGATTACATTTTTTTTCCATACTTTTTTTTATCTATCATTTTATATGATCATCAAAAAATGGATAAAAGAGTGTTCACTTTTTTTTGTTCTTCAATAATATAATTATACAAAAACGAAAAATTCTTTTTTTCTTTCTTCTTTTCATTTATCACAGATTTTTTTTCTTGTTTTTTTTTGTTTCACAGACAGGCTTGCCATTGATGATGAAGATAATTGGAATGGCTAAATTTACCACGACCAATTGAATAACAAACGAACAGACGGCCGAACGGAAGTGTACAGTGTTCGAAATAATAAATGGCAAAAAAGAGTGGTATATCGTCAAAATTGATAATACATTGCTTCGTTTTTTTTCTTGGCTACATGTTGCATGATGTGTTGTTTTTTTTATATATTTATATACATTGTTTGGACCATAACCACAATATAACTGGAAAAAAAACAGGTTAAAACACGCGTGACCAAATTGAATAATCATCATAAGTGTGGCATAAATGGCTATTTGCACCACAGGCGGCAGCTTCAACAATAAGAAAATTGTTCCATCATCATCATCATCATCATCATCATGTTGATATAAACATTATTGTGTAACAATACAAGGAAGAAAAAAATAAAGAAACAAACAAATGAAATAACGAGAAAATAAATGGCACACGTCGAAAATGATTTTATTTTTATTTGTTTGAAATGATTTTTTTTTTCAAACAAACAAACAAACAAACCACAAATGATTCTAACAACATTTCTGGTCAGTTTTTGTAACAACTTGTAAACTTATTTTTCATCGTTTTGTTTCTTCTTTGTTTTATATTCAATTTTTAGATGAATATGATACTAACTGGTTTTTACAAACAAACAGCAACAATATTTGTTTTTTGAATTTTGGCGCCATTTTTTATTATTGTTATGTCATAAATGTCGATTCAGCCACATTCGATTTTTGTGTTGTTACCACCAATGCGTTACCATAAGAGGCCATGAATCATGGAATAGAAACAAAATAATTTTGTTCATTTTCCGTTGTCAATATTGAATTATCTGATTTTTATTTTTTTTTTTTTTTTGCTATTTTGCCATCAAGATTTTTATTTCGTCCATTTTTTTTTAAATTTTACGATACGATTTTAACTTAACTTGTCTTATATACATACGTTCACCTCAATTGAAAAATAAACCTCAACCAAATGAAAATGCCATCATCATCATCATCATCAGTGACATCTATATTACCATCATCAACATCGTTACCATCATCATGTACCATAAATGGCAACAATCATCAACTTGACCAACAACAAATGTTAACCATTTCTAATGATAATGGTATGGATGTTGAACATCCTATCAACACCAACGATGTAAAAATGTCATCAAATGGCCATTCGGTTAACAACGATTCACCAACAACAACAACAACAACAACATCGTTGCAACAATCACAATCTATTCTACAAAATGATGAAAATAACGATTTGGACATGAACACATTGACCAGTCGATTAATCGAACGTAGTTCTTATCGTAACAGTCGTCGACGAAATCATAATGGCTCATCATCATCATCACATAGACAGTGTTTCGCCACAACATTTAAACATGATGAAAATGTCATGACAAATATGGTGCCGATTTCTAGAAAATTCGTAGATTGTTCACCGACAACTATGACCGAATTGACAACCGACAAAGATTATCTTGATTATATAGCCAAATTACAAATGGACAGTTTGATTCCACTTAAAGAAGATGTTGCCGGTAAGTTATTGTCATTATTTTTTTTTTCGCAAAAATATTTCTGTATCATTTATCTTAATTATGTGTAATATGAAATGGTCTTTATTATTGAAAGTTGTTTTCGTGGAAAAAAACAACACAGTTTGTATGTCACAAATCTATCACGAATTATCATCATTTATGTGATGACAACAATTGGAATTTTTTTTAGTGATTTGTGACAACGGTGTTTTTTTTGTTGTTGCAAAATAAATTTTTACCTCACTTGAAATGGAACATTTCTTCACTATTTACACTCATGGAATCGATCCGAAAATAGATGGCACTAGCAATTATATATGATTGTGATGATGAGTAATTTTTATTGCAGCTAAAAACTTCAAACACTGAGTACATTTTTTTTATCGTCGTTTAGTTTAATTGCTAGTTGAAAAAAAATTATAAACAAAATTTTGCCTGAAGTGATCAACATTGATCATCATCATCATCATCATCATGATCCGAATGATGAAAATATATATGCATTCAAATTATGAACAATTTGAACCTCTAAAATGGATAGATAGAAAGAAAATATCTGATGAAATTGATCATGTTTTGTATATCCATTAGTGATGATAATGATAAAATCAATAACTATCGATTGATCGATACTTTATAATTGGCCAATATATAATCAATCTAATCGTTAAACTGTTATTTATATTAACAATTTTTCATTTTTCATTCAATTTTCTTTTTCTTTTTTTTTTATTCAATCAACAGATTGGCTTAATCGTACTCTTAGTAAGTAACAAATCTATCATCTATCATCATTTTTAAATAATTTCAAATTTTTTTACATTATTTTTTTCTTTAGAGATTTAGATGAATCAATTAACATAGATAACTTTATGGAACGTCTAGAAAATGGTGTGCTTGTTTTTAAATTGATACGTGTGATTGAAGATCAAATCTGTGCTAAACATCATTCCGATACGAACATGATGATTGATGGTACACCTATAATGATTAATGATAACGGACGAAAATTGGATGGATCTCAATCAGTCACCAAGGTTTGTGTTTGTTATATCAAAATAAAAATAAAAATATCACCACACACAAGTCCATACGATTCTATAAACAATTTTCAATTTGTTTTTGTCTTGAACTATCCATTATTGTGATGACTTTATAGACTAAATCAAAACACTTGAGACCAATCAATGATCCAACAATCATTCATTTTGACTTTATTATTTGTCATCATCATTCTTTTGTAAACAGCATGAATTCATTGCTATGCATGCATGTTTGCAGGTTTTATAATAATGTTTTATATTTATATAATCAGGTACTATAGGTATCAGGAAATGATCGTTGAGAACACAATCTGAATTGAACATTTTTTTTTTTGAATTCAAGCTTGATTGATCAACCAAAACACAATCAAACAGAGTTTTAAGCATGGTTATAAAAGATTTTTTTTCACGACTATTCACTTTAGATTCTAACTTATATATATTGTCCTTAAAATCCTAGTTATGTAATCACTCATTTTTCATTTTTGTTTTCCACTTACCAGAAATTCATTACGATGAACAAGATGAATGGTCATCATCAACTTATTGGTACGACAAATTCATTAAATCGTCGATGTTCATTACCGATTGGCAATGAAAATGTTTCTGGTTCACAGCCAATGTTCAATTCTATTGGGTTTTTAAGTGCATATCATATGAAATGCTGGGAAAATGCTAAGCCACATACATTTTTTGCTCGAGATAATGTCAGTAATTTTCTTGAATGGTGTCGTAGGTTTGGTGTAAAAGATGCTGTACTATTTGAAACGTAAGTTTTTCTTTGACTCAATTGATTCGATATTTTGTTTATTTGATCATTATTTTTATTAGTGAGGATCTTGTATCTCATGTCAACCAACGAAACGTAGTTCTTTGTATATTAGAAGTGGCACGAATTGCATGTACTAAGTATTCATTTAGTCCGGCACCCGGTCTTGTTGAATTGGAACAAGAAATTGATCGTGAAATTGAACGAGAGCTTCAACTACAAAAACAAGCCGAGCATACCAGAGTGACTAGCAATGATGATCGGAAAAATTGCCAAAAACCCGAAATTCCCGATAAGCCAGCTACATTAAGAACAAAAACTGCTCAACATCATTCCAGAAATATTTGCCGCCAATTATGGCCTAACAATGAAAATGATGCAACCATCCAACAAGATGATATTGATTCCATCGATTCGACAAGATCATCCTTTGCCAATACAACTCCTTTAACGCTAGTCAATCAACAATCTAACGGTTCAATAAACAGAGAATGTCGAGATGATGATGAAGAAGATATCACTCTTATTTCTGCTCAGAATGATTCAAAAGATGTAGGATTTGTTGATGCTGATTCTGGTTGTTCATATTCATCATCGAATCATTCTGATTCAGTACTGCCAAGATCACCTAGTTCAAATTCTGTATTAAGTTCAACATCAAGTTCAGCAGCATCGGCTACATATTTTGGTGATCATGGTGGTTGTACAACCGAAACATCTTCGACATGTTCATCGACACCTACGCCAATGACCTCTGAACTAGATCACAAGGTAATGACATTATCTTAAATAAACAACGTAAAATGAAATATGCACATTCAAAATGACAAGATATGCATTCATAATTATTCTTTGTGATAACTATACATGTTCCGTTATAATTAATTAACATTTCTCTGGATAATAATCTATTGTATATACCGTGTCATAATTATCATTTGTCGTTAACAATGATTCATTTATCTAACAATTTACTTTATTTTTTCTAATATTTCATTTAAACATTATATATTTAGGTTATGCAAATTGCCAAGACTTATTATGGGAAAGAAGCTAGACAAGGTGTACAAAGACTTTCTGAAGGTAAGTTTGACCAAAGTTACGCTTTTTTTTCTTTCCACTGCCATAAGTTATTATATACGACTATTTTTCCGCCCTTATGCACATTACATTGATGAAACTTTGTATCAATCATATCAAAGGATTTTATTTTATATTTTCGTTAGTAGTGAATGTCTGACAAACAAAAAAAAACTGTTACTGCTAAAGGCTATCATCATCATCATCATTTAAATTGTCGAAAAGCTATTAATGAATGTTCATTTCGTTGTTGTTGTTGTTTGGTTGGTTGACTGTTCAAGTATATAGCTTTTAGAATTCTAGATATATAGATTATGAGTAGTGGTTCATTTTAAAGATTAATTAATTAGTTTTTACTCAGATTTTTTCAAGACAACTATGAAAAAAACAATCATGTTACACTTTGTTGTTGTTTATCATTATTGTTTACCGTTTTGGCGAAAAAAAAAAATTTTGAATCCCAGAAAACAGTATTGGAGAAAAGCAAACTGATTCAGATTATTCATTTTTGTTTTTGGCATTTAGTTTTTTTTCAAATGAATAATCCTGTGTTCAATTTGGTTTCTATTATACAATTATTATTACATGTTTGTAAATTGGTTACTCACTCAAATCGAATGCAAACGCGCCTAATACCATTATTATCGAATTAAGGATTTAATCGATGATGATGATGATGATGATGATTATGATGTTCAATTGATGGATATTTTTGGTTTATTTTATTTTTTTTCCTGTTTCAATCATGTTGTTGTTGTTGTTGTTTAACACAACATTTGAATCGACAATAAATAACAACAACAACAACAATAACAACAACAACAAAACTCTAATGAAATGACGATGATGATGATGATTAAATTTCATTTCCTATTGAAAAGAATAATCACATATATATACAGACAAAAGAAATTAAAGAAAGAAAAAAAAAAATAAAATAAAATAAGAATAAAAACAAATCAGGCTGATTGATAGTTTGATTTCAAGAAAAAAAAAAAAAAAAAATAAGCCAAGCTAATCCTGAATGGTGGATAGACAACAACAACAACAAAAAAAATTGCTTTGGCTTCTTTTATCCTTTTCTCTATATGTATATAATCATCAATAGATTGGCATTTCTTTTTTCATTTTCTTATTCCACAATGTGCAATGAATCACGTTCTCTAATAGTTGCACATTGTTCCTACATTTGTTTTACATTCCATTTTCCGGGATTGTTTCCAATGGATGAATGAAAATATTCTTAGATAGACAAAATCCAGATTAATTCAATCATCAAACTATTAAATCAGATATAAATGTGTCTATGTTGTGATGATGTGAAATAATAAATGTTTATCTGTGACAAGAGAGAGAGAAAAAAGAACAGAGAAAAAAAACCATAACGATTATATCAAATGTGTCAAAGATGAACAAAAAAAAGGGTAATGGTTGGAAACGAAAAACAAAACAAAACAAAAAAAAAATTCCACACAATATTTGACATACATAATTAAGATGATGATGATTCATTCACATCATCATTATTAATCTCAAATGTCCGAAAACAAAAAAAAAAAAAAAATAATTTCACACTGAATATCTTGTTGTATCCTTAATGTGTCAAATAATAAAATGAATTATACATTGTTCTATGTATAATGATGATGATGATGATAGGCACGAACGGGACACAAAAGCTGATAACCGATATATTGATGTTCATTATTATGATTTTTATGATCGGTAGGTTCTATGCACTAAACTAATTTAGCTTTCATTCAATACACATGTGATGATTATGATATTTTTTTTTGTTTTTTTTTTTTTTCACTGGTGATCCAATTCCCACCAAACACTATTGCATACTATCCATTGGTATCATCATCATCATTATAATTATATCCTGATACATACACGGTATATTATATTTGTTGATGATTAGCATTATGTGTGTGTGTGTGTGTGTGTGAGTGTGTTTTTGTATACGGAAAAATAGCTCTGAAATTGATGGACATTTTTTTCCACTAAAATTATTTTATTTTTGTTTTGCCATTTGATGTTTTGGACACAATAAAGCAATTATTGTCTCGCCTCCTGTATTGTTTTTAGGGCGAAAAAACATCATCCATTGAATATTTCCACCATTATGTTGATGTCATTTATTCGAGTAAAGTGATTTTTTTTTTTTTTGAAATTAATTTACTTTTCTCATAACTGTCTATTGTGTCTTGTTATCGTTGTATTCATTATGTCTTTTTTTTTGTTTTTTTTCTTTTTAAAATTATAAATAGGTAAATACAAAATAGCCAACCGAATAGTTTTTGTTCGAGTAAGTCATCATTCTTGTATTATTGTAACTTTGATTAGGTTAATTGATTTGACATTTTTTCTTTCTTCCGTTTTTTCCCACATCATTCATAGCTACTAAAAGCTCGTCATGTGATGGTTCGTGTTGGTGGTGGCTGGACAACATTAAGTCATTTTCTTGCACGTCATGGTGGTGACCCGAATCAACAGATATTGCCAGATGAATTACTTCCGTTAGATACAAAATCAAGCCAAATGAATTGTCCGAACGGTGGAATGAATAGTCAATCAAGAACGGCCAATGCTAATCGTCATCATCATAGCCATCGTATTCATAATAATAACAATAATGGAAGTACAACCCATACTCTAGTCATTTCAACGACAACAAAAACAACTACCATTCATAATCCAAATAATAATGTTGGTTCAGCACGAAAATCATCGATGACATCAGATTTATTGAAATTGACCAATAATAATGGTCAACAGAAATTTATTTCGACAAATGGTCGAAATGTTGGTATGATGTCAATCAATTCAACACCTGTAAGCCGTCGTAATTCGGTTTCATCAACAGCTGATAGTCCAGAACCATCATACCATTCGACATCAGCAACCAACTCTGTACTCTCCACTATTGCACCATTATCATCGCAAACAAAAATTCCTATATTGCGACAAACCTCACGTTCAAGATTGCCATCGATGATTGGAAATGAAACAACACCATCATCCAAACAATTACTACGGTCAACCAGTTCCATAATCAGTATATCACCATCTCAGGAACTTTCAACGTATCTGAAACAGCAACAATTACGACAACAAACAATGACCAATGGTAAGATACAATATACACAACATTCAATGATACCTCGATCAACAACCGAATTTGGACAAATGCGTAGATATGCAAATTATCTACGTAGTTCACAACATATAACCAATAAAGAATCCATAGCAAACAGCAACACATCCATCAATAGTCAACAATCACAAACACCTACTATACGGCCAAATCATCGACCTAGCACAGCTTTTGGACAGAAAACATGTTGATTACAATCTGTCATGATTGATATAATTGTTTTAAAATCTTAAATTATAGAAATAATGGTTAATAATTGAAGAAATCCTGTTATTCTGGTTATCCATAATTAGCAAAAAAGAAAAATATGTGTTCATTGTTTAAAATTTTTATTTCTGTATACATACATGACAATAAATGAATGAAAAAAATGGATCATCATATAATGTTTATAACCATTCTTCAACTATGGAACTTTTTTTCTAATATTTCTTTTTCACATTTTTATCATCATCATCATCATCATCATCATTATAATTATTAGTATTACTATTCGATTTAATAATGATCATTTCAAAACAACATTATCTATGATTTTTCATTTTCGTTATGTTAAATTTCAATTCGATAGTTCTCTCTCGTTTTTTTTATAATTTTTTATCATCATCATATTCATTTCTTTTCTTTTTTTTTTGTTCAACACAGCCAATGATTCATTTTTTCAATTTGTCAATCAATTCATTCAAATAAAGATGGCCATATTGTCATATGGACAAATATAATAAAATAAAGTATTTATATTATATTTATTGCTCACTTCAATTTTTATTGATTAATTCATTTTTTTTCGGAATAATGCTTGCATGCCACCATTGACGCCATCTGGTGTTTACAATTTGTAATACAATGAATTCGAAAAATGAAAAAAATATATAATTGGATTTTTGTTTTTTTAATTGAATTAATTCATATGAATTGGTATTATAAATTCTAACTAAATGAACCAAGTATGTCTTGCTGCTGAATAATGGTGAACGTAATGGTGACAATTTTGGTTAATAACCTGTCATGGTTAATACCAATCATCATAGCACAGGAATTTAAAATGAATACAACATATTTTCCAATGGAAATTTTATTTCAAATCTGTTATCGAAAACGTTTAGAATGGCTTTCCGGTAAAGAGCGAACACAATTTGCCGAATGTTGTGGCCAATTATATATGTGTTCTTGTTTGTTTAAGATGTGTGCTAAAGAGTATTGGATAAAACAATCATATTGGTGTCAAGGAGCACCTTTTGCGGAATGTCATATCGATGAATTTTGTAACTATATATTCGCCAATAAAACACATCCTATAGAAATAATTTGCGCACATCATTTAACCAATCGTTTAGGATTTTGGTCAAACATTTTATTTCTATTATCAACAGTGTTCGTAATGTTCCTAATGATTTTGATGGTCTGGATCGGTAGAATTGTATTGCAGAATAATAACAATAAAAATCAAAATGACAATATGCAAATTTCGCCGTCAAATGAAAGTATCAGAGAAAGCAAATCACGTATCACGAATAAAATTTCATCGATAAATAATTCTGCGACTAAACGACGATCCAGTGAAAAGATAAAATCAAATAGACAAACTCGAAAGACTTCGAAGGTGAAACAAAAACGTCAAAAAAGTGTCAGTAGTAATCTGACGGTATCAAAAATAAATTTTTATTTACAATAAACCAATATATTTGTTTAACAATTATAGTAATTCTATAGAATTCGTTACATCGACTAATTGTCGTTGTATTCATGATCAAGATTTTAAAGTTCAGATGTTCAGAGCGGATTGATGAAACCCATATGTACAACATATATTTAGCTTGACGTTGAACTTTATTTTTTAAATAATGGTAGAAATAGAAACAGCAAATACCCATTTCAACAAAACGATTGAAAATGATTTTCATCTGAAGTAATAAAAAAAATATATTGATTAAATCATACACAACATAAAAATGGTAAACAAAAATTTATCTGATCATCAACCATCTGAAACATCTTTAGAGATGGCTGTTATTCCAACGAAGAACCGATTATTCGAGAAGAAATAATGCCTTATCAGTTGAATATGATTTGTTTTCTTTTAATAAAAAAACAAATCAAAATGATCGAATCATATTCTCATTATTAGGAGCATTAGTTTTGATTTTATTTCTATTTATAATTCATCTATTTATTCTTAAGCCATTGATAATATCAACAAATTCCATTTCTGATCGATTTACGGATGATTCATGGATTCATATGGATCAAATTATTAGAAAAAATGTTGGCTACATACGTCATAAAAACGCCAACACTTCGGATGATGATGACAATCTTATTTTAATGAGTACCGATCTCAAATGGTTGAATCATTTACAATTAAATTCTGCAAATGTTTCATTTTGTTATAAACAAGATGATTTATCATTATTTTATCATTATTGTGTTGATGAATCTCAATATCCGATTATCTATGATCAGGATTGTTGGCCACATTCTATTGATCTGTATCAACAACTCTTAATGACCAGAAATCAAACAAATTTAGCCAAGTTGAACACATCTGTTATTGATGAATTCGTTCAGATTTATCATCGTTTTTTGAATAACAGTGATGGATTAAAATCAATAAAAAATGAACAACTATCATTAGCATTCTCTTATGCGAAAAAAATTGGCCGTGATTGTGAACATTCGGAATTATGGCAGCAAAATTTCAATCTATCATTACCATCCGGTCGAAATGAGAAAGAAATGTGGGAACTATATTGTTTACGTCACATACGATATCCTAATATAGTAAGCATCAATACTGGTAAATATTATGTGCCCGAATATTATCTTCAATTGATTGAAAGTGATTCGAATGGAAAAAGATCACTGGCTTCGGATGAGAAATGGATGCATCGATGGATGGTGGAAAAATTCATTCCACTATATCGATCAAATTTAGTTTTACAAAAACGCTTTGAAAATGAATCAAAAAATTCGATAATTTTTGCAAAGAAAAACGGTTTAGAATGTTGATTATTATAAAAATTTCACCATATGTATTAATTTATTTTTAATCAAAATTCATTTAGTAAAAATATTCATTAAACCTTCATTTTCGCTAGTTTCAGATTTAAATGTGATACGTTTTTTTAATGTTAAATAAAATGTGTACGACGAAAGTGATAATGCTACCAACACTGTAGCCATTCCCAATGTTGTAATAAACAGAATATAAAAGTTGCGATCGAAATAAAAATTATTACATTTAATTTGTGACCAAATATTTTTGGACATCGTATAATCATATCAGATGAATTTTGTGTTTCATATTGTTTATCCAATCCAATCAGAATCGATTCGACACTTAATACATCAATCTCATCACAGAAATCCAATGAATATGTGTTGATCCTTTCGATTGATTTCATCACGCAATCATTATAATGACTTAAAGCACAGCAAAATGATTGCTGAAAATGTAAACGAACATCGCCATGGTGATCATTATCAAAAAGAATATTTTTTGTATAGTTAAACGTAGATTCAAATTCAACCTTACATGAATGTGAAATTGGCTCCATCAATACTCGACATGCAGGCTTGATTGCTTTGATAATCAGCTCGGCTTTTTTAATTAAAATTGTTGATTGATAAACATTGTATTGCGTAATCAGTGAATTCACGTTTTCATCACCATGGACCATATATTTCATAGAAAAAAGTTTATAAAATACAAATAATATGAATAATAATTGCATTTTCGTTTTTGTAAAAATGGTAAAAACATTGATGGATACACAATATCAAAATAAAAGAATAACAAAAAAAACCATTATTAACTCGGAAACAAATTCCACGTATTTTTTTAAAAAATACTGCGTATACTATTTAATCAGTGATCTTAGACAATAAAAAGATATAAGTATCATTCATAGTGCATTTTTAATATTAATAAGCTAGTATTTTTACACAATTAAATTTCATCCATTTCTCGTAAATAACACTCAAAAAAGATAAAGTCATGCATTTTTTTTGTCGTTACGTTAATCCATGTTTACGTATTAAATATGAAATAAAATGATATTATAGGCAATATAAATGAATTTAGAGATGAAAAAATCCTTTTTTTGAATATACAATAATAAGAACATCATTCATCAGTATCATCCGAGTCATCATCGGATATGTAGCGTTTAGAATTGGTTTTGGCTTGTCTTCCTGGCCGACCAGGTGTACGACCGGTGGAAGATGTTTTCTTCTTTTTCTTAGGCAAATCTTCTTCATCTTCATCTTCGTCTTCATCAGAGTCATCAATCTATGAATTAAATAAGTTTAAAAAATGATTAAATTTTAAATGGAAACACATTTTCAATCACAAATCGGAAAAACTTACCAAATCGTCATCATCATCACCTTGATCGGTATCACAACCGGTTGTATTTGCACCGGAAGTTCCAGCACTAATTCCTCTTGCAGAGGCAGCTGCAGCAGCCGCTGCTTCTTTGGCTTCAACTTTTTCGGTAACTTCATCATAAATTTTCTGCAACATAAGCGAATCTTCATATATTTGCGATTGTTCCATATTATATGTTTGCGCATTCTGACACATTTGAATGAAATCATCACGAAGTTCTTCTAATGAACGATATTTATGATTATTAATACGTGAACGAATTTTTTTAATATCCAATGGTCGCCGAATAAGTTCATAATAATCCGGCAACTCTTTTCTAGATGGCAGTTCCATGAATGCATCAGCAATATGCCGATATGCCATACCAGATTCATCATTGTTGTCTTTGTTTTCAACATCTTCTGGTTGTGGCGACGCTTCAGGATCAGGAACCTTAAAGTTCACAATCTCGTGGATGATTCGACGCATTTTGTTCATTAAATTAGGTGGATTGGGAGGATTTTTCTCAACCGTTGGACGACCACGTTTCTTTTTAGGCTTTTCATCATCCTCATCATCGTCGTCATCATCATCATCAATTCGTCGTCGTTTGCCACCTGTGGTTAAGAAAAATTGATTAAGAATTCAACATTATCAATAATTGAGAGTATACCCACTTTTAGATTTACGTCGTCTTGATTTACCACCCGTGTTGAATTCGATCTCATCATAATTACCATCTTCAATGGCCTTCAACCATTGACGTTCGGTAAGTGAATCAGAATAATCAACTTCTTTCCGTTGACGTGAACCTCGACCAAATAGTTTATCTTCTTCTTCTTCATTGGCCAAACGTTCTACTTCGAAATCATCTTTCAAAAGCCATGATGGTAGTTCTGATTCTTCCATTAATCGTGGTTTACGTTTTATATTTCGTGCCTCTTCACGACGACGATCCAAATCCATCTTTTGAAACAATTCGAATTCTTCTTCTGTACGAGCGATCATTTGATTGATGGTTTCATCATCTGGTACTTCATTCTCATCATCTTCTTCGTCACCATCGTCTTGTTGTAAAATTGCCTATGAAATGATTTTTTTTGATTAAATAAAAAATTTAAATTCTGAATAAATTAATCAAAGATAAAAATACCTGTAGAAATTGCTTTCGCTCAGATCCAGTAGATTTTTGATCAAACATGCCAGCTTGAATGACTTTTTCATCAAGGTTTAATTTATATTTAGCGGCAGCTAAAATACGTTCTTCAACTGAATTGACGGTAACCAAACGCAATACACGTACTTCATTCTTTTGACCAATACGATGAGCACGATCTTGTGCTTGAAGATCTTGGTGTGGATTCCAATCTGAATCGAAAATTATGACAGTATCGGCTGCCTGTAGATTTAAACCCAAACCACCAGCACGAGTAGAAAGAAGAAAAACAAAATAATCAGAACCAGGTGCATTGAATTTACACAAGAGGACACCACGATCTTCAGCTTTGGTTGTACCATCCAATCTTAGATATTGATACGATCGATAATTAAAATAATCTTCCAAAATGGTCATGGAAGTTGTCATCTGACAGAAAAGAAGCACCCGATGATTTGTGGCTTTGAATTTAGGTAAGATACGATCCAAAAGTTCAAATTTGCCAGCCGCACGATAAAGATCAGGACCTGAGACAATACGATCGCTTAAGCCCAAATGTTCGGCATAAGATTCTTCAATTTGTTGAAACATGAATGGATGATTACAAATTTTTCTCAATTGCATGATACTATTCATCAATGTACGGGTTCCACCACGGCCTTTTTTATCTTTTTCGGAACCATCGGTCAAAAGGACACCTTTACTTTGCATATGGCGATATAAATAACGTTGAAGTGCGCTCATATCACACTTGACTACATATTCAACTTTATCCGGTAACTGTGATTCTACTTCTTTTTTTAAACGTCGTAGTAAAAATGGCCGGAGTACTTTATGAAGACGGCGAATAATAAGAATAGTTTCTTCTTCATTCAATTCAACCTTTTCACCAGTGGTTGCAAACGGCGCATTAAACCATTGTTCAAACGTATTACATGATTTAAAGATTGAAGGCAAAAGAAAATTCAACAATGCCCATAATTCCGGTAGTTTGTTTTGCAATGGTGTACCGGTCAAAAGAATTCGATGAGGAGCAGTATAATGTGTATTCAAAATTTGCGTCAATTTACAATGATGATTCTTCATACGATGTCCTTCATCGATAATCATGTATTTCCATTTTATTTTGGCTAGTACTGCTTTATCTTTGATTATGTATTCATATGTAGTCAATAATACGTTGAATTTATTTGATTTCAAATTGGTCGATAAATCTCTACGAGCTCCGGGTGAACCTAAAAACAAACTTTAAAAAAAAACAGTGAAAATAAATATAAAATACTTTACCTTTATAAGGGATTTTGATGACTGTAGGAGCCCAACGATCAAATTCCAACATCCAATTCGACATAGTTGATAATGGAACAATAATCAAATATGGACCATTGTTACGCTTCTTTTCAATTAGATAAGTGATTAATGCAATCGTTTGGATTGTTTTACCCAGACCCATCTCATCAGCAAGTATACCATTCAAATTATTATTATACAATGAGACCAACCATTCAAGACCATGAATCTGATATTCTTTTAATTTTCCATTACGTAACAATGATGATTGCTCAGTAATACGTTCTCGGATACCATGAGCAATATTATAATAATTAACTTGATCATCACCACCTTTGTATTCATCATCTTCAGCCGAAATCTGTGGGGTAGGTTTTAATGTTGCTGTGGAACTATTTTCACCATCACCATTATTTTTCATTTGAGAATCTTGATTAGATTTTTCATCATCATCGGTCTCCGATTCGGTAGCTTCTTCATATTCGGATTCTGAATCACCACCGGCATCACCACTTTCTCCCGGTTGTTTTTCACATTTAGGAGCAACAGACCATCCAGGATGTTCTTGAAGCCATTGATCTAATTCCGATGCTAATGGTGCATCTTGTCGGGTTAATAATTTGCCCGATTCGGTTTCGATAACATTAACACGAAGTTCACCTCCTTGACTATTTTCATCGAAAGCGCCATCCGGTAAATTTTTAGTTCCATCCTTATTTTCTTTATTATTTTCACCTTCTACCCCATTTTTCTTTTTCTTCTTTCGTACTTTACGTCGCTCTTTACTTTTCCTTCTTTGTTCTTCTTTGTGTTGTCGTACCATTTCGGTAAGATTACGAATATATTCATCGGTTTGCGATAACAAAAATGCCAACCTTTTATCTTTCTTTTGATCAATCAATTTTCGATAACCTTCTTCATCTTCAGCCATTAAACGTCGCATACGTTCTTTTTCGATTCGTTCTTGTTCTTTTTTCTGTTCACGTTCTGTGTTAGCATGATAAACGGCAACAGCTTTATTAACACGACCGATCTTGGCCTGAATATTACGATGATATTCTTTGAAATCTTTGGCATGTTGCAGAATAGCACTAATATATTCCTGATGTTTTTGTTTACGACGTCGTTCTTGTTCAAGTTTTTGTTGTTTTTCCAATTTTTCAGTAATTCTTGCTTCACGTAGACCAATACGTTTAGGTTTACGATATAATTTCGGATTTTGTCCGGTTTCAAGCGTTGTATCGCGTCGCATACAAGCAATCACATCGGCACGTAATTGTTTCTGAAAATTTAACAATCGTAATGCTCGATATTCAATCATAGCACTAATACGTAAATCTTCGGGAATATTTGCGGGTAAGTCTTGCAGCTCTTGAATACGATGAGCAATACGTTGTGCAATACAGTTTTCGCGCTCTTTTTTTAATTCAATTGGATCCAGACCGGCTGGTTTGGCCACTGGAGTTACACGAGTTAGTTTAGGCTGTTGAAGTTGTGATGCCATTGCATGATATGCATTCATATCACGTTCATTCATGGTTGGCGGTTGATGAGATGAGGGAGGTGGCGGCTGTGGTTGTCCACCTGTTGTTGCTCCAGGGCGCCAATGTGGCGGAAATTGATGTTGTGGTGGATGATGTGGCCCAGGATGGTGACCATGATGTACACCTGGTTGTTGTTCAGGACCTGCTATCATTCCGGCGCCACCATTCATAATTGGACCAGAACCAGCAGATGGAACATTGGGTAGTTGCACAGAAGGACCATTCATTTGCAATGGCTGTGAAGGAATCATACCCGTTGGCTTCATGGGCATTGGCCCGCCATTCATGCTATAACCACCCGATGATGATGGTGGTGCTATTTGATTAGGTGGACCTTGTTGCTGTGGAGTTTGTGGTCGTTGCTGTTGTTGTTGATGAATTATATCAGGTGTGGATGGAGTTGGTGGACGAGGCCATCCACCATGTTGTTGCTGTTGCTGATGCATTTGTGGTGATTGAGGAGGAAATTGCAGGGAACGTTTTCCTGAATGCTGTAATGCCATACTAACTTGTTCGGGTATTGGTTGATTTCGTGCCAAATATCGATATGCTACAATTTGATGCCGTAATTGATGCAATTGATGAGCCGCAAATTTCGCATCAGGATTTGGTATGCCACCGTAACCAGTAATAGGTGCAGGATATCCACCAGCATTACCACCTTGTTGTTGGGGTGATTGTCCATATTCTCCATTGGTAATATGCCCAGGATAATTGTATGCTCCAGTTCCACCCTGTGATTGAGGCGGTGGCGTTGAATAATTTCCGTGTGGAGTAGACGATGGTGGACCTGGTTGTTGCGGTGGTCCAGCCATTGGTGGCATAGGTTTGCCTTGGTTTGGAGGTTGAGGACCTATTCCGCCATGATGATTCATGTTACGATGTTGAGGAGATGGTGCCATCGCAGAATTAGGTGGCGGTGGTAACCAAGTTTGTTGTGGTGGTGGACCATAAGGATGATGTTGTTGTGGTGCAATGGAATATGGTTGCTGAGGAGCATGTGATTGTTGTGGTCCATGATTCATACCAGGAGGAATTTGTTGCATATGAGATGGGGGTAATTGTTGATGAGGATGTTGTCCAGGAGGTGGTGGTGGCATCATTCCAGTATTGACATGGTGTCCAGGAGGAATTATCTGAGGTTGTGAGGAAGCGGGAATTGATGATGGGGAAGGTCCAGGAGAAGGTTGTGGTACACCAGATTGTGATGACACTGGGGCTGCACCCTGAGAACTGTTTGAATTTTCATCCATTTCTTGTCAATAAATTATAAAAAAGACTATGTTAGAAAAAATTTATTTAAAACATATTGAATGATGATCATAAAGATTTTTTTTACATTACATACTTAATTTAGAATTTTGAATATATGAACGACAATTACAACAGAAATTGTGTGAGTCGTTTCAAGACATACACACACCGATATGCGACCCCAGAATCGATTCGACGTTAGGTATCTACAGATATTTTACTGCTAATTAATAATAATTCCGAAATTTCCGTACACAACAAAATCGAACGAAAATGAACAGAAAAGTTTTCAATACAATTAATGAAACACATCAGGCAAACACAATTATACTCACTAAATAAAATAAATGGCCCCTCCAAAAAAAAAAAAATGCTGAGCTGAATCTTTTGTTTGCTTCGTTGGTTGTCCGTCATTAAATGACGTATCATTCTATCAAGAATTATTATTCTAATAATTCTGATGATAATGATTTAAATATCCATCATATAAATAAATCAAATATACAAAATTTATGCATGTTTCAAATGAAGCGAAATGGAATTGAAATCCAATTTTGATTAGAAAAGATTTTCTTTTTTCAAAATGAAAAAAAATGGATCTTTATTGTGTAGCTTTTGACTTGATCGAACGCGTTACATGTACGTGTGTGTGTGTGTGTGAGAGAGAGAAGCAGCTAAAACATTACCGGTATATCGTTGTGTGTGTGTGTCCTTTATTGGCCACAAGCATGCGTACAAATGTGTATTAGCGTATATAGCTCGATACATCGAACAATGTGAAGGGCGTTTCACTATAATTCATGTACAATGGATAACACTCTCACATACATATCGATGGTATCGATAAAAATTGATTAAAATTTTCATCTATTCAATTCAATATAAATGATTTTTAATTTTTTTTTTTTTTTTGAAATTTTATTCATTTTGATGATTTTTTTTTCATAAACTTTTATTTTTATTATCAATGGGTAAAATACGACGTTCATTCACTGCAAATAAAAAACTTCAAGTGATTAAATATGCCGAAAAACATGGTAATCGTTCAGCTGAAAAACAATTCAATGTGGCCGAATCGAATATAAGATTTTGGCGAAAAAATAAAACAATCATTGAAGCTATGCCTGAAACATTACGATCATTGCGATATTCACGTGCACGTCATCCACAATTGGAAGAAGAATTGAAAACAATTATAATAGCCGAACAACAAAAACATCGTGATGAACAATCAAAAACAACGGAAATGTCGAATCGAATACGAACCTGTGATATCCGTCGATTGGCTTTAAGTTTAGCTCGTAACAAATTCGGTCTTACCTCACAGCAATTTTGTGCTCGTCCTACTTGGGTGTTTAGTTTCTGTAGAAGAAATGGTATTGAAATTGGCAATAAAAAACAATCCCGTAAGTTTGATGATTTGATTTTGATGAAATTTAATTTTTTAATTTTTTTTTTTGTTCAAATATCCAAGTTAAAAACAAAGAAGCACGAAAATTATGGGCTTTATATAGAGAAAATCGTGATCATTCATATTATAAATTGAAATTAGACAGCAAATCGGAAAAGGAAGAAACAATAACTGAAAATAGTGATGATGATGATGATAATGATATAGATTTTCCCGTCGATATATCCGAACATTTTGTGGAGCATTCAACAAAAAACGACAATACAACCATCGAAGATTCTTCAATAATTATGAAATTACCAGAGCAATCTGTATCGAATAACGATGCTTCTACCACTAATACAATTTTTATCATATTAAATTCACAAACTAAAACATGTTGATATTTGGCTGTTTGTCCTGCAAACAATCCAAAATCTTATCTTCTTTTTTTTGAGGTTGCATATTTTTCATTGCTTAGCATGATAACCATTCATTGGTGGTTCATCACAATCACAAAGTTGTCCACCCAATTCTGGATCATGTTTACATAAATTATCACAAAGTTTTTTGATATCGAAATGGTTATTGTTTAAATCAAATTCAGTGGTCATAAACATTTGCGTCGTATGTTCCAAAATACGCCGCCTGGCCGTAGTTGTCGTTTCAGAGGTAATAAGCATTATTTCATCCTGTTCTGCTTTTTGAAAATTTTTTTGTTCCACAATCGACCAAACAATGATGATTGAACATATTATAATGAATGAACAAATAATAAATGCAGCCAATAATGCCCATCGTGAATGTAATAACCAATGGCGAAATTGTTGAATTTTACGTTGAAATGAATCTAAATATGATTCAATACTATTAATGTAAAACATTTATCAATTTGTAATGTATAAAATCATATTATCATCAGATATATATTTTTTATGGTTCATAAATTAAATCACAAAAACAGAATTCAATTGTCAATCAGATGTGTATTTTGTAAGATTATTGTCGATATTTAAAGGATGGCAAAATTTTTTGTAAAATATATACACGACAATGGTGGCTATATAATCTTTGACTACGTTTTATTTTTTTTACACATTACACATTATTATTATTGCATTTGATGATGATTAAATCTTAAACATTATCAATCAATCATCAATAAACGACTGATTTTTCATGAGTACATTCTTTGTGGTTGTTCAAACAAATTGATTGAGCCAAATGTATAAAACAAAACAAAACAAAAAAAAAAAATCCACATCCCATTCAAATACCCATAGTGATGATGATATTTTTTTTTTTTCAAGTTAAAAAAAATTCAAATAAAAATTTCAAGTTTCATTTCAATAATTTTTTTTTATTTATTTATTTATTTTCTTCTTTCAAAAATTTATAATAATAATAATATATAGCTTTTCTCATTCGTTTGTTTATTTGAACGTTAATTGTTTGTTTGTTTGTTTGTTGTATATGTTTATATATGTGTCTATGAAGATGAATGTGTGTGTGTGTGTGTGAGAAAAGAATCAAGAATCAAGAATCAAGAATAATAATTATTGAACAAAAAGAAAATAATGAATAAAATGAAATGAACAGAAAAAAATAATAATAATAATAATGAGATGCTTTTCAATCATGAGAAACAATGAATGATACAAACGACTGGAATAATAAAAATATGTAAAGAGAAGAGAAGAGAAAAAAAAAGATTGATGAGATCCTCGTCATGTCATTCTTATTTATGGGAAATACATGGATGTGTGTGTGTGTGTGTGTGTGTGTTTGTTTGTTTGTTTGTTAGTGTGAGGACTCTTGTTGTTGATAATCAATTAATAAAAATAAAATATGAATTTATATTACAAATAAACAATCAATAAATGTGGAAAGGTTTGTGTGTGTGTGTTTGTTGGTGTGTATGCCACGAAAATATAAATTCTTTTCAATCAATCAAATATAGAATTTCTCAAGTAATCAATAATCAATAATGTTCGTTTGTTGTTTTTTTGTTTTGTTTCAAATGTAGAATATTTTTTTTTCGCTCTTATTTTTTGTTTTTGTAATTAAATTCTTTGTCAATGGCTGAAAACAAACAAACAAACAAACAAATGAACAAACAACATCCAATAACAAAAAGATATATAGATATTCAAAGGTCCATCATATTTCCATCTGTATATTATTTATAGATCAATGTGAATAATAATAATAAGAATATATATAATAATAATCATTTCAATAGATCAATAATGATAAAATTTTTCTCTTTTACGAAATTTTCGTTTGTGTGTGTGTGTATGTTTTTAAGGAAAAATGTTCAGATGATGATTATGACGATGGTTACGAAACAAAAACAATCTAATGTTTTATGGATGGATTTGATTCCGGATGGTTAATTGATAATGGTCAAATGATGATGATGATGATGATGATGATGATGATTTTTTCATGTGATGAATTTATGAGGTACAAGGAGCAATTGAAAAATTTGTTTGAAATGATAAAAATTCTTGAGATTCGTGTGATCACTATGATTCATGATTCACAACATGTTACAAAATATTTTTTGTTTTACTGTGTGTGTGTGTGTGTGTGTATGATGGATGAAATCGGATTTTTTTTTTTTTTGCTTGTTTTTGAATAGAAAAAACAATTTTCGTATCTACAAATGATGAGGCTAGCAAATAATTCTTGAGATTTTGTGCCTACAGGATTGGGATTTACAATTTTTTTTTTGCTTGGATCTCTTGTTTTATTCTTCAATAGTCCAAGACGGCAACAACGATGACAACACATCGACATCATCATCATCATCAACAACAACAACAACAACAACAATTAATATAATAATGTCAACAAACCCAAACGAAAAAAAACACACTTTATCTTTGTTTGTAATAATAATGGTATAGAAATGGATTGAAATCATTTTAGTTATTTAATGACGTGGCGTATGTTGATGATGTAATAAAATGTCAATAATAATAATCAATAAAAATGTTACAAATTAAAAAAGGAAAAAAGAACACAGATAGACTTAAACAAAAAAATGAGATTTTAGCAGGAAAAAAATGAAAATAAAATTGACAATTGAAATCTAAAAACACAAAAAAAATGATCACATCAGACAGACAAAAAAAAATAACAAACGATTCAGAAGAATTTTTGAAAGAAAAAAAAAATTTTCTTTAGTTATATATTCACTATAATATTTGATGATGATTGATGAATATATATATATCATTTATGAATCTCAACACAGCCAACGTTCGAATTCGAACAGATAAGGGATAAAAACTTAAGGCAAGACAAAAAGGGGAAAAAATGTCACATCATTCATGATGAATGACTTAATTGTCACATGATGGATAACGATGATGATAATGATAATGGCGATTTCTACCATGATTATTTCAATGCAAAATGAAATGAAAAATTTCAGATTGAAATCCAATGGATGAGCAAATGTGATTGGGGAGGTAATTTACGAAAAAAAATGGATGAATCTCTTCCGGAAAGTTTCGGATATGATATCATTCAACTATTGCCACTATCATGTGATAATAATCGTTGTAATAAACTTTCCGTATTGGATCTTTGATTTTGATCATTATCCTACAAAATAAAGGTGAATATAAATCTGATATTTAGAAACAAAATTGAATTAATTTACAAAAAAAAACTTACCATAGAAGTGCTGCGACCAATTGTCGTCGAATCATTATTATTGCCAACTATTTGTTGTCCTAATGATTCTTGCTGTAATTGATTATTACCGGTGATTGTCACCATATTAATACTGTTTGTGCTAGCTGTATTCGACAATGACATCTGATTCGAATTAGATGTTTCAACAAATTGATCAAAAAATGAATCCTCAAATTCGACATATGATGTTTCGTCCAATGATAATGATGTTGAATTATTCGGTGTTGATTGTTGAGGTGTATTTGGTTGTTGTATAAGAATCTGTTGCTGTGATGTTGTTGGCACGGGTGTTTGTGGCTGCTGCTGTTGTTGTTGTTGTTGTAATATTACTTGATGTTGTTGCTGTTGTACATTACTACTACGTTCACTAACAAATGAATTCAATTTTTGTTTCACATAATCAGATGTTGGTTTATTATTGAGATTATTGACCGATGATGATGTTGATAAACGGTTATCATTCACTGATAATGCATTATTTCCAGTAGATGTGGTAACATTGACTAATCCATCGAGATTATCGAATCCGGATAGATCATTAAGATTGATTTGTTGAGATATTTGTGGCTGTTGTTGTTGTTGTTGAGAGAACATAGACGAAGCCGAACTAATTGTATTGCCATTATTAGCACCACTAATACCAACAAAACTATTATCAACAACACTGGCCGTTATTTTTTGTTGGGATTGTATCGATAATTTGACATTCGTTTGAGTATTAATTGTGAATGATTGTTGTTGCTGCTGTTGAATTTGTTGTGTTTGTATAGGCATTCGTAATGTCAATCGTCGTGGTTGTATTAAATGTTGAATATTCGGTATGGTCATCGGTTGTTGTTGCTGCTGTTGTTGTTGATGATGATGATGAGTTTGTTGGCCAGCAAATTGTTGCGCTAAATCTCCGTTGTTTTGTGGTTGTTGTTGAACAGTTTGCATTGCAAATTGGCCTTGTCTTGATGGGAAAAAACGAGGTCCTTGTTGACGTGTAGAACGGGCAAATCTTTGAAGTCCTACTATAGAAAAGATGGATATATTTAATTTTAATATATTAATCCAGATTAAAAAAATAATTACCACCAGAAAGCTGAGCATTTAACATCGGATTTGATTGTTGCTGTATCGATACTAGATTAGGAGTTGTAACCGGAGATTTAGGCATTGTAGTCGGTCCTGATGGTGACATGACTTGTTGAGCCGGTGATGGTACATTATGATTATTGCCGGATGAAAGTCGATTCGAAGTAGTTGCAGCTGGTGATGCTTGTTGTTGCCAACTAATCTGTGTGATTGGCTGTTGTTGTTGATTATTTACTGATTGTGGTGATTGTACCAACATTGGAGATTGTGGTGGTGCTGGTGATGGTGATGCCGATGTAGACATATTGGAATTACCAGCAACAAAATGTCCTGGCGACATATGATTTGTTGACGAAAATGGTGATGGAACTTGTTGACCACCACCAGTCGCTAATGTCGTTTGTGGACTAGTAGCATATGAAGCGCTATGATTATAAGATGATGGGCCATTATTACGTAAAACAGCAGAACTAGATACAACACCACCGGAAGTTGGACCTTGTACAGGACTTGGACTAAGAACTTGTGCAGGACATGGTGCTGGAGATTGAGGTAGTATGGGCGGTGTAGAAGGCACTTGAATGTTACCGCTAGTATTATTATTACCACCAATTACATATCTTGGTGACATTTGTGTAACAATTACGTCCTGTTGAACTGTTGCTTGTTGCTGTGATGGCAGAGCTTGTCGAGGTTTGACAGTAATCTGAACATTGGGTGCTACAGTGTTATTGATCGAATTTAATCCATTTATATCGAATCCTCCATCGGATGGTTTAACATTGAAATCTTGTTGTTCTTGATGCATTAATAATCGTTTATGAGCAACATTCAAATTAGGTGGTCCCTGTCCAAGAACAATAGCTTGTGTTCCGGTCACTCCCGAATTAATCGTTCCTTTGGGCATTCGTACTAATTGGATTTGTGGCTGTTGTTGACCTGTGTTGGTTGTAGTTGTTGTCTGTCCAACAAGAAAGGTATTACCGGTTCCAGAAACTTGCTGTACCTGCTGCATAGCAGCCACTCTTTGCATAACTGCTGTATTCGATTGTTGTTGTTGTTGTTGTCCAATACGAGCATTCATCATACTAACATTAGCTCTTTGTTGTTGCATCAATTGTTGCATAGTTGTTTGCTTTTGGGGCATTATACGATTAACCTATGTGGAAATAAAATCAAAATAAAAATAATGGCAAAAAAAAAATTAAAGGAATTTTCTAATACCTGTGAACCGATAGGTGGCTGTGGATTGTTATTGATGAAAGTATTTGATACCTGAGGATAGGATGGCGGTGGTTGATAATTCGGTGGTGGTACCTGTTGCTGCTGTCCAGGCGATAGAATCGAATGTTGTTGCTGTTGAATTGATGATTGACCACCAATAACATTATTCAACATTGGTGATTGAGGTGTAGGTGGTTGTGATGTATTCGATGAAAATATCTGATGATTTGATGAACTGACGTTTTGTTGATTTTCAACTTTCATCAATTCTTTACGTATTTCACTTATAGCTTGTTGTTCATTTGTAGTGGTAGAATTGAGTTGTGCAAGACTGCCAGAAGAATCTGCTAAATTGAATGCAATCAAATCGATATCATCATTGTTAATACGACGATTTACAGTGGTCGTAATGTTGCAAGCATTGCCACCACTAACGCTTGCCATATTAGCTGTATTCGAGAGCAATGAACTCAATGAAGGTTGATTATTGATATTCATCACGTTTCCAACGCCAACAGTACCACTATTAGTATGATTATTATTCAATTGATTAACATTATTTACGATCAAAGATGTTGATGATTGATTGCCACTAATCATTGTATCATCTTGAAGTTCGATTACTTCATCCAAAATCTGTGAAATCAATGCCGGATCTTCCAGATCGATCGAATCATTCACCAGGCTAGCATTATTATTATTATTAGAACTTTGGTTATGATGATTAGCTGATGTAATCACTGGGGCCGTTGTTGTAATATGCTGTTGAGGATTCGTTGAGATCTGTTGTTGAGCTGCTGGTTGATGTGTCACAATCGTATGTTGCTGTGATGATGGTTGCAGTTGACCACCGGATAATGTATGGATAAATCCAACACCAATTGGTTGTTGTTGTTGCGTCACAGATTGCGGTTGAATCGTTGTCATTGTGGTTCCATGTTGTTGTTGAACTTTTGAAAAATTACGAAGCATCGTAACACGTTGATTCGTGGTCGCTGTTAATGTTAACATACCACTTTTTGAAATCATTGCACCACAATTATTAACATTGATTGGATTGACTGTGGCCATAGCAGAACCAGGTACATTATTAGATGATGGTACAGCATTACCAGATGCTGTTGTAAGGATTTGGGTCAAAAAATTTGTTGTTTTTTGACCAGTACTGGTTTGTTGTTGTTGTTGTTGCTGCTGCTGTTGTTGTTGTTTTAATTGAAGTTTTTGTTGTTGAACAATTTGTTGACCAACCGACATAGTTGCTTGTGGCTGAAGAACGGGTTGTTGTTGTTGTTGTTGTTGTAACAATTGTTGTAGGTCTGAACTATTGTTTATCTGTTGCTGTCTCAATTGTAATCGTTGAACAAAATTTCCACCTGCTGCAATCTATATTTTGTTCGGGTGTGTGTAATCATTCAAACGAAACGTAAAATGGAAATACAAATTTAACGATCCATGAAATATGAACAATTTGTTTATTGATAATTGTTGCTTACCTGTTGCTGTAATTGGCTTTGGTTCGTATGATGAATTTGTTGTTGTTGTTGCTGTTGGCCAGATTTAATAGCTATAGGTGCTGGTACCAAACTGGTAGTACCACCAGGACCAATCGTTGTAATTAAATGTTGTTGCTGTTGAGTATGTTGTTGAACGATATGATGCTGTTGTTGTTGTTGTTGTTGAATTTGTAATTGAATATCTTGGATATGTTGTTGTTGCTGCATTAAATTAGCTTGCTGTATCGTAATCTGATGTTGTTGAGATAGATGTTGATTCGAATGCGTTTGTTGTATTTGCGATGATTGATTAACATTTGCTCCTGTAGTTGGAGGCGTTGGAATAATTTTCTTATCTAAATTGGGTGGTAATTTAACGTCCGGTGTCGATGAGATCATTGATGGTGGAATTGTTTGAATTTTTTCCTCTGGTAATGATGTAGGCGTTTTGGCCAACATTGATGCCAACATTGGATTCTGACAGGCCAATAATTGATGTGATGTTCCTGTATTAACACCAATACTATTGTTCGAAGTAGTCGATGTTGTAATATTCGCTGAAACGATTGCCAGACGTTTAGATTCGGAATCTTGCATCAGATAAACATCATTTTGATCAAAAGGTGATTTTCTTTTATTAGGATTGAAATTATATTGTTGTTGTTGTTGTTGTTGTTGTTGTTGTTGTTGTTGTTGTTGTTGCATAGATACATCTTCATTATTCGATGAAAGCAATGAGTTTAATTCTGTATTTGTCAAATAAAATTCCAGAGAAATTATTAATTATAGAATCAATGAAAAACACAAATTGAATTTGTCAAAACATACCAAACATAAATTTCTGGCCATTATTTCCAGAAATGTTGCTAGATGAATCTTGATGTAGATGTTGTTGCTGATCTTTCAACAAATGTTCCATTAGAACATCATTTTGTGAATTCTTATTAACACTGGCTAATTTCATTCCACGTGTTGATTGATTCGCAGCCAATTTGGCACTATCATCATCATTTAGTAACATACGCAACATGTTATTCGATGATGATGATGATGAAGCAGTCGTATTGGTGGCTGTTGTCATTGTTGATTGATTACTTGAATTAACAATCATAGATTTCGTATCATTCAATAGATCAACAAAACTTGATGCCGATCCTATGGATGTTGTATTTGTTGTCATCGTTGATGAGCCACCACATCCAGATAAATGTAATAAAGTGGATTCAGATTCTGGATTACCCGTTCTAATATCACCCGTTACATTACCACCACTAACATTGAGTTGATCATCTGCATTGTCCAATAATTCACGTAAAATATTATCACTACTGTTACTATTATTTGATGATGAATGTTGCAATGATGAACTAGTTTTATTGTTCTTATTATTTTGATGACTTAGATTATTATTGTCATTTGAGGAGAATTCGGAAGTCTGATCAGAATTTAGCGTACCAATACCTAATGAGGAATTCGGATCACTAGTGAGCAAATTTCTGAGCTTATCATCCATCATCACTCTATGTTGTTGTTGTTGTTGTTGATGATGATCACTATTATTTGCAGTGGTCATAATCATTTGTTGCTGGTTGTTCGGCCCTAATTGGCCAATTCCAATTGATGAGTGTATACCTTGTTGTATCAAATTATTTCCACCAATCGTCGAATTTGATGATGAAAACATTTGAGGATGTGATGAGATCATCGTCATTTGTTGTTGATTACCACTACCGGCACTTGTATTAATCATCATCGACATTGATGATGTAAAAGGAACGGATGTATAAATTTGACGAGGGTTCCCTGAAGATGATGAAAATGATGATGATGATAAGACGATATTTTCAACAGTAGTTGTTGGCTCTTCTTGTTGTTGAATCATTGCATTTGATGATGGAGTTGTATCACTAAATTCCCATCTATTCGAAAACATTTCATCAAAATCATCAAGATTCAAATCAATTGCCGTTGGTGTAGCTGAAACAGCAGTAGATGATGAAGATGATGATGAGGTCAATGTGGTCATTGAATTATTGAATTGAGATGCTGATGAACAGGCAACTAATGTGATTTTAGAATTTGATAAATATTAGAAAATTAAAAGAATTGAATAGAATCAATTACTTACCATTTGATTGTTGCATTTGCATTGATGATGATGATAAATCTGGTGGAGCCTGAGGTTGTTGAAATGGATTATTTGTCCATTTATGATTCTGCATCATTGGATTTGTAGTGATTAGATGATTTGAATTCATCATCCCAGATGATGTAACACAAGAGGATGCTGACGATGATGAGGATGATGTCGATGATGAAAATTGATGCAAATGTTGTTGCGTTGTTGACGAATCGTGTTGTTGAGGATTATTTGTCGTCGATATAGATTGAGATGAGGAGGATGTTGATTGTTGTTGCTGAGACTCGTTGCTACTGGTTGTATGATTCGGTTGTTCATTACCAATCAATGTTGTGTTTGATGATGTTCCAATATTATGATTACCACCACCACCAGCATTGTTGAAATTGCCTGACATAGTCGTATTTGTTCGATTCTCAATCATTGATTGATCATCTTCCTCTTTTTTTACTGGTGATAATGTATTCTGTTCAAAAAAGATGGAATGCTTGGCCATCATGGAATTATTTTTTAATAATTTTGTTTTTGTCAAAACTTTTGCATATTGATCAGGACCAACTTTAAGACGATATAGCTTTGATACGGCTGGCGGTGATGAACCACCAGCATTAATAATGGCATCTTTTAGATGTTGTTGAACCTTATTCAGATCATCTTTATGTACGGAATCATGAAATAAACGATTTGTTGTTAGATTATTTCGTAGGTGGGATATTTGCCGCTGTATATTAATATTATTTGAAGACATTGTCGACCAGTCTACATAGTTAATACATCCATGTATATCCAGACGTGTACTGAAATGCTTTATTTGAAATTTAGTTTGACCAGAATTTCCAGATGGATGTTGTTCCGAATTCGGTAGACGACGTGCAATACATAATACACGCGATTCTTCCGTCATTTGGTGACCACCTGCAGTACTCGGACCAGAGAATCCAACAAATGTAGAATTATTTAGACTTAATGTCGTGCTCAAGGAATCTATTTGTTTGGATTCAGAATTCGAAATGAACCTAGTGTTCACTTGCATCAATTCATATTGAGGTAAACATGATTCTAAATTAGATGATACTTTTTGTTTTTGTTGTAATTTTTGTTTCCGTTTTTGTTGTTTGAGCAACAATAGACGTTGTTTTTGTTTCACAATGTCCTGATTATTATGGTCTAATTTACCCATTGATATTGTCGATGATGATGATTCGGCTTGTGCAGCATCTAAAACAGCAGCTAAATCAGAATCCAATACAGATGAATCATCATTTTGGGCCAATGCTTCATTATCATCGAAATTTAAATTATCTAAAAAATGTCCATCATCATTATCACGTGTGGAGAGATCATCATCACCAAAGCTTTCATCGTCATCACCATAATCATCATCATCTTCGTCATCATTTTCACTTGAATGTATTGGGCCTTCGGATTTGACCAAAAATCTTGAATTGAATGAATTAAATTCATTATGGCTACTGCTTTGGTTCAAACTGGCCAATGTTCCAATTAATGATGATGATGAGCTAGATGATGAAGAGGTTGATCCTGAGCAAGTATTGTTAGGATTTGATGCTGATGATGAACCTAGATTGGCAGATTGATTGGTTGAACCCGAAGACACATTACTTGTAGTACCGGATGTAGCTGTAATAGCTAAATTACCGGTTATATGGATGGAATTCTGTTGTTGTGATTGATTTGAAGACAACGATGTGGAAGTGTTATTTGTTGACGTTGTCGATAAATTCTGATTCAACGACGATGATGAAGAAAAGTTGTTGGAATTAGTTGTCAATGTTGATGATGAACTATTATTATTATTATTGTTGTTGTTGTTTCGAATCATCTGCGATTGATCCAACATGGATAATGATGATGATGATGATGATTGGTGTTGTTATTGTTTGTGCCAGAATTGATGTTATTACTGGCCGTTGTTGATGATGGCCAACATTGAGAATTATTAACACTATTATTATTATTAGAAGATAGTCGTCTTCCATTGTTGCCAATTGCCATTGGCAATAATAATGCATTGAAACGTGGATGATCGTCTGGATGTAAAATATCAAATATTGACTTGTTAATTACTTCACTCTATAATTTTTTTTTGTTGTAATTCATAATCAATAATTTTGATGTATCGAAGGATGAATAAAATTGTCGATGGAGAAAATTTATATGTGAAAAAAAACGACAACAAAAAAAACACAAAGATCGATTAGCAAAAAAAAAAAAAAAAAAAAAAGCCCATTAAAATTAATATAATATTGAATTGAATTAATAATTTTGCAAACAGACATACCTGAGTGAATTTAAGATATTGGTTAACATTTTCACTAATATATTCAACATAACCATCGGCATTCAATGTGAATAGGAAACAATTCAATGCATCCAATAGCAATGAATTTAGATCCGGTGGTAATATGTTGGGTTTTGATGAGGAGACTTCCGATGCTTGAAGATCATCTGTTGTGAGATCTATATTTTTATTGTCACATCATATAATGTGAAATTTAGCGAAAAAAAAAAAAATTAATAAAATATATATATTTCACAAAAGCCAATTCTTTTATTGTTGTTGTTGTTGTTGTTGTTGTTGTCTCAATTTTATTCAATAACAACAACATAATGGATATAATTGAAACAAACAAACAAACAAACAAAAAAATTATGGATCTAGCTAATCCATTTATTTATTTACTTACTTTGTTTATTGATGTTCTGTATCTGTTTAACAGTCTCCTGTAATATGGCACACTTGTCCGGCTTGACCGATAGTGAGTTCATTTCATTAAAATTGCCTGCTGCCGAGATCAGCTCTGCTAACTCTTCAATATAATTTTCTTCGTCGTCGCTGTCTTTTTTAGTATTTTCACGATGATGTTCTTGTTCACGTCGTCGATGTTGTCGCTGCTGTTGTTGTTGTTGTTGTTGTTGCCGAGTTTCAATTTCAGCTTCTTGATGCTGTTGTTGATGTCGTTGATCTTTTTCTTCTTCTTCTCGCTGTCGTCGTTGTTGGTCGTTATTATGATGATGATGATGATGATGATGATTTGGATGGTGATCGTGGCTGTTGATGCTGCTATAATGATGATGATTATGATGATGATTTTGTTGATTATTTGACTGCTGTTGCTGTTGATTATAGTGACGACGTTGTTGTTGTTGTTGATGATGATGTTGATACTTCTCATCGAGAATGAGGCACTTGTTCCTAGAAACATTAGGGAAAAAAAAAGAAAACGATGAAAGAATCGAAAAAACAAATAAAATAGACAAATAGAATTCGAATAAATGGGCCAGAAAAAAAATGAAATGAAAAACAAAATTTTAGCAACCAAAAAAAAAAACAACCACCAACATTATTCATCACCGGAATCAGTATGTATCCATTAAGAATTTCTTAGGAATCAATTCATTATAAAAACGATGAAAAGAAAAACATTACACATGCAACAGGCATCTCATGAAATCAAAAATTCAAAAACTGAATTGATAATGACAATAAAAAAAAAGATGTATATTATAAGATTATTAAGAGAGAGAAAAAAATTAACATTTTTTCAATTTTTTAATCTAATCTCTTTCTTTCTTTCTTTCATTACAACTGTGTGATGATGTTGGGATCGATCAATCCATCCATCCACATGAATTACATAATAATGTTGTTTGATGATGCGACATCATCATCATCAGAAACAGATATTGATAATGTTGTTGTCGTCCATTTGATGATATCAATTTTACAGAAAAAAAATGCAATGATCATCATCATCATCATCATCATCGAAAAAAAATGATGGTCAAGATGATGGTGGTAGTGTTAACGATGATTTGATAGAAATCGGATTATTTTCATCATCATTCCAAGTGTGATATCAGAAAGCAATGGATGACGATCCAATCATTTTCATCATTATGAACGTCATTTTTATATGGCAACGAAAAAAAAAAAAAAAAAAAATTTCGTCTTCATTTTTATATGGACAAAAATTTTTTTTTTTTTTTTGCCTTTTAAAAATATTTGAACACACACACACACACACTATAGAAAAAAAAATGAAACATCATCATCATCATCATCATCATCACTGATCATGAGCCAAAAGAAATAAGAAAAAAATCAACATAGCTATCGATTTAGAAAAGAATCTGGAATTACAATCATCAATTTAGTGTGTGAAAATTCATATTTCAAATTTCTGATGATTTAATGTAGAAAAAAAAAACAACATACACACGCTTCACAAGACAACAGTTTCAAATACACAAAAAAAATCAAAGAACAAATCATTGTAGGAAAAAAAACCAGGACCCTATACAGAACACATTTGAAATTGAAAACAACGATGAAAACAGACAGGCAAACATACACACACACACACAAAACACACACACACCACAAACCAAAAACCAGATAAATAGATAGTTGAATTGATTATTTATATATGATATATTGAAGCTGAACAAAAAAAAAAAATGAAAAAAAAAAAAACATCATTTCTATAATAATCAATAGATGATTTTTATCAGTGAAAAAAAAATATCAACTAACCAAGAAATCAATCAATCAATCATAATAAATCAATCAAACAAAGATCAGCTCAACGTGTTTGTTGTTTGATTAGATTATAACCAGGACATCAATGAATACACACACACACACACAAACATCAATATATGAATAATAATATGAACACAATTCAATAATTAAATTTGAAAAAAAAGACAGAAAGAGAGCGAGAGGGCTTAAAGATTTTTCATTTCATTTGGGAACAAAAATTCTTGAAATTGAAAATTTTTCAATTTTTTTTTTTAAAGTCTTAGCATAGATTTTTTTTAGAGAAAAAAGGCAACTACTTCATTTTGATTGAATAGTAGGAAAAAAATGATTGGAATTCATTCATTTTTTTTTGTCAATTGTCTTTTCATATTTGCTTTTAGGGCATTTTTTTCTCCTATTTTGCATTGCATTGCATTGCATATGTCATCATCATCATCATCATAATGCCATTAAAATGAATCACTATTGTTGACAAAACAAAACAAAATCTCATATTATTCCCCAACTATTTATTCATTCATTCATTCATTTATAATCAAGTGAATGAAAAGCTTTCTGGGACTTTGGGAATTTATTGTCACATCATAAATATATCACAATCAAAATCATTATTACCATTTGGACCGTTGGCATTTGAATCACATTCATCATCAACAACAACAACAACAATAAAAAAGATTCAATGTTGTACAACATCATCATCATAAGCAATGAACCAAAATAAAGAGAAAATAGAATCGAGAAACAAAAAAAAAATCAAACAAGAACCATTGATTGTGGTATGCCATGTATACATACACACTTAAATTGCAAAAAATACAAATTACACATTGACAAACCAAGAATTCATCCAAATGAATAAGTGATAGGCCATTAATGTTGTCGACAATCAAAATGATGATGAAGAATCATCATTTTGAATTGAAAAAAAATTGCTCGTCGCTAATCTGTCAGGTAACTCTTTTCAGTTATTAGATTCAAAACAAATCAAAATGAAAATAAAAACAAATGATGATGATTTTTGATGATTATTTAATTTGATGATGATTGTTGATGATGGATTTCGATGCTGTTGTTGTTATTGTTTTTAATCAATAATTAAATAGTAATTCAATTCAATTGATGATGATCATTGGTTTACATTGATAAAAAAATTTTTGTTTCAGTGTTTCATGTTTATACTATTACTTTAATGATGGAAGGATTTTAACCTTTGATTTCAAATCAAGATCAAATCACATCTAGTCTAGTATGATTAATTCATCAATCGATGATGATGATGATGGTAAAGATTCAGATTATCTAATCGTTTCTATTTTTTTTTATATTTCAGTCAAATTTGATTGAATTTTGATTCGAAATCGATTTTTATGTTATATAATAATATATTGACAATCCGGTTATGGTTATTAAAATTTGTTTGTTTGTTTGTTTTTCTTTCATTTGTAGATTCTATTTGAATTGCCGTTATTTTGACCAAAACAACAATAACAACAAATAAAAACAACAACAACCGTACGAACAATTTGATTTTAATGGCTTTCAAGATTTTTGTTTTGTTTTGTTTTGTTTATAGTTGCCTGCTGTTTGGTGATGATGATGATGATGATGCATACATTTCATTCATCACACATTATTGTTGTCATAGTTTAATTTGTTTCATGTGAGATTAAAAAAAAAAATAAAAATAAAAATAAAAAAAAACCTCAATACATTGTTCTTGTGAAATTGAAATCTAATTAAATGATGGTACAAACACACACACACACACACAAAGATGATGGTTATTAACGGATTCAAGTTGAGTGTTTTTTCGCATTTCTCATCGTATAACAACAAATAATGATCTTCATTATATAAAAATAATTACAGTATAATAAGAAAAGAAAAAAAACACTGCCAACAAAATCAAATAAAATACAAAATTCGATCCATGATCGATTTAATGATGATGATGAAATGAAAAGATTTGACGGGGGGACGAAACAGATCTCAAGAGAAAGTGAATCTTTTTTTTCAGTTAGTTTATGGATCAAAATGAATTGAACATGATGATTCAAAAACACACCGAAAAAAAATATATATACATCCATTGATGTCTTGTTTGTGCATCTAAATCACAACGATCAAATATAAAAAAATATATACATAGACATTCAGTTCAGATCTTAGAAAAGAAAAAATCTCGATGATCATGATCATGGCGATGATGACGCCTGGCATACTAAAACAAAACAAAACAAAAAAAAAAATTGTCAAAAAGAAGTAGCATCATCATCAATGACAGCCGTTTGTATATTATCATCCACCATCAACATCATCATAATATAATAATCATATTCATCCTCTCACTCTCATATACCATAAATATTACTCAAAGATTTTAGTTATATATATATACATGCATTACTATAGTGGAAAAAAAGGTGATTGAAAACAACAACAACAACAACAAAAAAAACAAGATCATTGTTGATGATGATGATGATGATGATAATGTTGATCATGATCATCGACATTGAACAAATTGAAATAGGCAAACTATGAATGAGGTTTTTTTACTTACAGAATTTCCAAATTTTTTGTTTGTGAAGACAACACATGAGATGTGTAGTAGATGTTTAAAATTGTTTTTTTTATTCTTGAATCAGAAAAAAAATACAACAAACACACACACACACCTATATTATCATAATAGACACACACACACAGGTCAATTGTGAAATTGATCATCATCATCATCGAAATTATTTTCAGTGATGATTAATTCGAATAAATTTTTCTGGTCATATTTATGCATATATACATTGGGTGTGTGTGTGTGTGTGTTTATGTGCCTGTGTAGGTCGTTGATGTTTATGCGTGTTTTTTGTTGTTGTTGTTGATTTCAATCATAATAATATCAAATCACCAACACATCAATCAATCAAAAGATAGCAAAAAAAAAACACACACAAAACACAAAACACATCGAATTAAGATGCATGTACGTGTGTGTGTGTGTGTTTAGGTGAAACAAAAGAAAAAAAAGGTAAAGATGAGTACAATGCACAAAACAACATAACTAAATGATGAAAATATTAAATAACATATAATATATAAATAATAATCTGAAGAATCGATCGTTTTGGATCATTTGGATCATAGTTGAATTTTATTTTTTCATTTTGATAATAATAACATTGAATTTCAAACATTGATTGCCGTTGATCAATTTTGTTTTTTTGGTTGTGGTTGGTTCATTTGTTGAAAATATATCATATCATATCATTCACACACACACACAAACACAAAAAAAATTCATCAAATTCATAATCACCATTTTTTCTATTACAAAATAAAATTCAATCAATTAAAATTTCTTTCTTTCTTTTTTTTGAGGTTGATTCGTAGATATTCGGCTCTTTATTATTATTATTATCATCATCATCATCAACCATTCATTATTATTACTGCCACATTCGGATGATCATCATCATCATCACAACAAACAAACAACATCTTGAGTTTTTTTTTTCCTTTACTTTCCTAAAAAAAATATATATTGCGTGTAGTGTATTTCTGTTGGAGTAGCATTTGTGGAAACCAAAAAAAAAAAAAAAAAAATTTTTTTCTAGGATTTTTTTGGATGATCATGAAAGGAAATTTGAACATTCACACTCATTGATTGTGTATTATATTGTTGATGAGAACCAAAATGAAACCCAACAATTTCAATATACAATGAATGGTAGTAGTAGTAGTAGTTGTATTTCTTCTACGTTTCCTTCTCCTTCTTCTTCTTCTTCTTCTAGTTTTTCTTTTTGTTCCTTTCTAATTCTCATTTTATATATATATATCCTCTATTTGTCCATAGGTGTTTCATTCCAAAAACCACTACCACTTTGAC